GTCTAACATAAAAAAGATCTTCTTATACAAAAAATGTACCTCAATCCAGGAGAGTAGCATCGAAAATGGTAATTGAGAGATGGTAAAAAAATACAGGAGGTAGGGCAGACATGGTCCAGTCATCATGACAGTTCCTAGAGCAAAAGCTCACAAAAGAGGACAAAGAACCCCCCCAAAAAACCAGGGTCTGTAAGGTCCAATGTAGGAGAAATGAGAGCATGCCCCAAATGAAGAAGGGTGTCTTGGAAGCCAGAATCCTTGAAAGGAAAAGAATATCTCACACACAGTGAGAAGAAAAAGTGTAAAGCCCTGTGACCATATAAGCCATAGTTTGCAGGCAGAGAAGACAGGCTAAATTTGGTTGAAACGAGAGAAGGAAATGTCTAAAAGTACCCAACAATGAGTGGGTGGGAGAAAAGACCCACATCCCAGGACAAGTCCCCCCCCCCCTCCAACCAAGCAGCTAATGTAACAGGAGGGAGGGAAGAGAAGAGGAAACATCCCAGAATGAGTTAACAGATATAAACAGCAAAAGGAACATCAGCCACAGGTTATGAATATTGCAAGGAAAGCCCCCACAATACCAATGAATACAAGAAGGGCCGATGCTGAAGCAAAGGGAAAAAGTAAGGAATGGAAAGTTGCAAAAAAGATTGGCCAGGACACAGAAAACAAGGAAGAGATGGACTAAGAGAGACAAGTAGGAAGGTGTCTGACACACTGACAACGGCCAACCACAGACCAAGTGAAAGAGATCACAGATGAGGTTGGAGGGAGGAGAAAGGAAAATGGAGAGAAGAGGAGTGAGCAAAAGAGATTAATGGAAAATGACTGTAGGCAGAGTGAAACCAACAACAGGAGGAGAGAAAGATACTCACAAAATCATACATTTATAATAGTCAGTGGCAAGAAGAGTTATGATTGAAACTACTGTTAGAGGTAAGACAAGAAAAAGAGGATGGCCTGGAGTCTGGAATGGAAGTTAAGGAGGAGATTGATCTAGACGAGGAATAGGAGTAAAGAATAAGTTCAAGAATGGGGAAAAAAACCTGGGAAAAAAATAAGGACAGAAGTTGTACATTATCAGACCAGGTGAACAAGTGGAGAAAACACCTGTGCAAAGAAAGGGGGTCAGGTGATTAATATATCCATAAGACAAAGGACAGGGTACAGCAAAGAGGAATGTAACCTGATTCATTAAGTCTTGACAGCAGAAGAACAAAGTATGAAGTGATAGAGTGGAACTAGTGGAACAGGCCAAACAGAGAAGGGAATGAACATCCTTAGAAGTTATCAGAAGCATGAAGAAGTGCCACAGATAAAAGGAGAAGGAATACAAAATAATAGAGAGAAAATGACAAAAAAAGGGAACACAGCGAATCAGAAAGTGAAAAAAAGTAAGGGGCCCAATCCCCAAGCTGGTCAGAATGAAACAAATGATGGCGAATTGAAAAAAAAAAAACAGAAGGGATGAAAGTCAAAAAATCATGACATAAGTGACAATGAACATGGGGGGGGCGAGGTATTTGTTGTGAGAAAGGAGCTACTAGAGAAAGGAAACAGTATAAATCCTAAGAACAAGTAAAGAGAAAAAAATAAACCCACAAAATGTGGGTCATAAAGTGAGAAAACAAAAATAATAAAGGACACAGGAAAAAGATAAGAAAAGAAACATACATGGGAATGAAATCCAGTAGCAGAAGGAAAGGTTAAAGTTGTTTAACAAATGGTAGAGCACTACCTAAAACAAAGTAAGTGAAGAACATAGTCTAACAGATCATTCCCAATTGAACAAAAGGAAATTAGGCTGACGAGACACGAGTAGAAGGCTCATTAAGCATGTGGTAATCCACAACACATTGAACAATGACAGTTAACGGGCATCCAAAAGACACAGAAGAATGAACAATGTCCCAATAAAAAACATCACTGCCATTCGAGAATTCATGATAAAATACTAAAGTTTTTTAAACAAACCTAATGAAAATTAAAACCAAAGTTTTGTTAACAATGCAAATCTTATTAAATTGAACTTTGATGAGAAATTTAAACACATCTGGTCAATATAGTACTGAGGGAGGACAAGAATCAGGATTCATGAGCAGGGGGAGTCATTGTGCATGGAGGTGTGTCACACTATTTGTGAAGAGTTCTGCTTCATGATTACATCATCATGCAGTAGTGCAAATTCACATGATATTGGATAGGTTGGAATTTTCACAAGGCTGTTGGATTGCAAATCTCTTTGGCAGAATATACGGAAGACCTGAGGAAGACAGCTATTCTGTGTGAGAGGTGAATATCCATTTTAGAATCTTACATTATAAAGTGATTAGATTAGTGTAACTTTTTTTTTTTGTTCTACATGATACTTTAATTAATTATAGGCCAATTTTTTATAAGTGGAAGAAATCTACTTTCAGAGGTAACCTAATTTGTAGTAGTTTTTGATGGGATTTCTGCTTGAATGAATGAGTGCCACTATTGATGTTATACAGGGTGTCCCAAAAAAATGTATACATACTTTAAATGCTTACAAATACAATGTTTATTAAGATATATC